ATATATAGCTATACAGATTCATCACCCATGTGCGCAAGATATACAGTAGGTGGCGGTAATACTCCTAAGGAGTGAACGGCCATTGAACAAAAAGAAGAAGAAGGAGAAGAAGAAGAAGAAAACGCGCCAAAGCACATCGTGGGGCTGATTGAAAAAAATACAAGATGGCATCAACAAGTAAAGCACAACCTCAGACGAGAAATTTACCATGGTAATGTCCTTTGCGTTTAGTAGTACACATTTCGATCTTGTGTTCTTAGCTAATGCTTAAAAGGTGTTTATTTCACTTGAGACATTCTTTAGCCGACATGTGCAGCACTGCACAAGTTTGCTTTGTTTACATCTGGATTGCGCTTATTCTGCACTTATGGCCATATTAATTTATGGATATTAAATCACTATGGGCTGTAGTTGAGCTCGTCGTTTAGTATGTATAAAATATATACACAAGAACGTATCAGACCTGTATTATTAATATTATATTATGACAGCTGACATCGGTTCGTTGATGGAGAAAAACGATGACAACTCAAGTGTATCAGTCAATTCACTGCAAAGTAATCCTTATTAAAGCACATGTCTGAAATGATAAACTCTTTATTAATAATATCTACTTGTGGTTATAGCTACTGTCGTTATAATAACACCATAATGTTAGTATGCGTAAATTATGGGTGGGTTGTTTTAAACAGGTAAGAAAGTTTATTAGAATTGCTGTCACTCCACTAGATAAACAATATGATGGGGGGAAAAACAGTGTTTTACAAATATTATTTCTTGATTTTCAGGGTTGAAAAGTACAGGCCACAGACATTAGATGACCTCATCTCTCATCAAGACATCCTGAGCACAAGTAAGCAGTGATCAATGAATTATAAATTGTACTCTTTCATTATTATTATTATTATTATTATTACGCCAGTCCATCAATTAACATCGTGTGAAGCGAAAAGCTGTGTGTTTGTAATGAACAAATCCATCAAGACATTTTTAACCTCAAATTACATTAGATGACCTCATCTCTCATCAAGACATCCTGAGCACAAGTAAGCAGTGATCAATGAATTATAAATTGTACTCTTTCATTATTATTATTATTATTATTATTAACAAACTAAGATTTGCACTGTAAGAGTAATATACAGGAGAGTCTCTGTGAATTGTTTACCCAAAATGAAAATTCAGTTGCATCCATGTTAAATTTTAGTTTGATTTTTACACAAAACAATATGGCTTCAGACAACTTAAATATATATATATTCCAAAAGTTGTATGGACTACTTTTATGGTACTTTTGCATCCATTTTTTCCTAATATTATGTAAATGACCAGTATATTCTTGAAATTTCTATATAAATTAATTTTTTATAAATGTCCTCTTTCTTTTTCTTCCACAGTTCAGAAGTTCATCAGTGAAGACCGATTGCCTCATCTGCTCTTCTATGGACCTCCAGGAACAGGAAAGACCTCTACTATACTAGCATGTGCTAAACAGCTGTACAAAGATAAAGAGTTCAACTCCATGGTCCTGGAGGTACTATAGAAGTTTGCAGTTGTTTTCCAGATGCATATGTTTGGCGAATTTTTCCCCATGACAAAAAAAATATATGTGGTCATCCACTTAAAAGAATAGTTCACACAAAAATTAAAAATAGCTGAAAATGTACTCCTCCTTAGGCCGTCCAAGATGTAGATGTTTGTTTCTTCATCGGAACAGATTTGGAGAAATGTAGCATTACATCACTTGCTCTCCAGTGGATCCTTTGCAGTGAATGGGTGCCGTCAGAATGAGAGTCCAAACAACTGATAAAAACATCACAATAATTCACAAGTAATCCACACTACGCCAGTCCATCAATTAACATCGTGTGAAGCGAAAAGCTGTGTGTTTGTAATGAACAAATCCATCAAGACATTTTTAACCTCAAATCGTTGCTTTCGGCTAAAATTGGGTCCTCTGTCTATAATAGTGCTTCCTCTAAATTTCTCCAAATCTGTTCCAATGAAGAAACTAACTCCTTTGCATCTTTGAAGGACTGAGGGTGAGTAAATTTTCAGCAAATTTTCATTTTTGGGTGAACAGTTAAAGCTGAAATAGATATTTTGTTAATTTTTTCTGATATTAAGTCTATAAAATAAATTCTATATTCATTAATTTATGATCACTTTCTTATTTATTTTTATATTAACAAATGAAAGATAAGTATGCTTGTTGCAAACCTTTTAAATGTTTTTTTTTTTTTGTGCATTTTACTTCATCAGCTCAATGCGTCAGATGACCGTGGCATAGATGTGGTGAGGGGGCCGATCCTCAGCTTTGCCAGCACACGAACCATCTTCAAGTAAGAACAGTACTCACCCTTACATCCCATTTATGAACAATTTGTATGATATAATATCTGTTCTCACATACAGCAATATATAACAGGCAACTATTGAATGACATCTTGTCTTTAGACTTTTATTGCATTAAAATGTATACTGTTGTTGTAAAATAATGTTCCGTTCTCTATGTGAAATAGATAGTTAATTTTTTCTGATATTAAGTCTATAAAATAAATTCTATATTCATTAATTTATGATCACTTTCTTATTTATTTTTATATTAACAAATGAAAGATAAGTATGCTTGTTGCAAACCTTTTAAATGTTTTTTTTTATTTTTTATTATTGTGCATTTTACTTCATCAGCTCAATGCGTCAGATGACCGTGGCATAGATGTGGTGAGGGGGCCGATCCTCAGCTTTGCCAGCACACGAACCATCTTCAAGTAAGAACAGTACTCACCCTTACATCCCATTTATGAACAATTTGTATAGTATAATATCTGTTCTCACATACAGCAATATATAACAGGCAACTATTGAATGACATCTTGTCTTTAGACTTTTATTGCATTAAAATGTATACTGTTGTTGTAAAATAATGTTCCGTTCTCTATGTTTGCTTCTTGTAGGAAAGGCTTTAAGTTGGTGATCCTGGACGAGGCGGATGCTATGACCCAGGACGCACAGAATGCTTTAAGGAGAGGTAGCGTACCATCTGCCCCTCCATCAGCTCACCTGCTGAGCCCCCAAATGTCCCGATGGCAGAAGAATAGGGTTCTGCCATTTCACTGTCCACAGTGAGACATGAATGAGAGCAGTGTGATTATGATTGGGAAAAAAATATTTAGAGAGTTTAAGGTTAAATTTGACCAAGCACCTGATTCTATTTTTTTTTTTAAACTATGCTTTATTTTAGGTTTTAAAATGTAAGCATGTCTGATCTGGATATCTTAGTAAATAAGGATCTATTTGTTGTTGTTGTTGTTATTGTTATTATTATTGTTATTTTAATTTCATGCCTTTTATATTATTCTTGATTTTAATATTTTTTATTATTTAATGTAATAATTATTTTATTTTTAGACTTGAATAAGCATTGTGATTGGAAAAATATTTAAAGAGTTTAAGATTTAGTATCTATTTTTTTATTTAAATTATTTTTATTATATTTTGAATGAGAATGAATGTGAGCAGTATGATTGGAAAAAAATATTTAGTTAATGTTTGGGATATTTATGATAATTTTGACACAACATCTGCTTTATGCTTTAAAATGTATGAATGTGTGTTCTGGATATTCTAGATAAATATCTATTCTTTATTGTTATTATTATTAAAAATGTGTTTTATAATATTCTTTATTTGAATAATTTTTATGATTTCAAATAATGCATTATATTTTTTATTTATGCAGACTTCATTAAACCACACCTGATTTTTTTTCCCACTCCCTCTCTCTCTCTCAGTCATTGAGAAGTTTACAGAGAACACACGCTTCTGTCTGATCTGTAACTACCTTTCAAAGATCATACCTGCGCTGCAGTCTCGATGCACACGGTTTCGTTTCGGCCCCCTGTCCCAGAGCCAGATGATTCCCAGACTAGAGCATGTGATACAGCAAGAGAGGTGAGACTCATCACAGCAAATCCAGGTCAAGTGGATGTTATTTCTGTATGAAATTAGTGTAGAATTGATTGCATTCTGAAAGAAATCCACACCACTCAATTTTTATTTTGTTTATTTATTTTTCCCAGAAAAGGTAAACATTTATTTCTATTTCTATTTGTGTGTAATTAGAGGTCAGGGGCCCGTTCTTCGTACGTCGCTTATTACATCCGAGATGAAATGTCACATTCAAGATGATATCATCGCGCTAATCAGGATCTGGCTAACTCGGTTCTACGAATGCACCTGTTGTTGATGATTAGTATGGCTGGATTGAGTTATCTGAGATAATTGCGCGTTCATGGGTTGGTTTAAAAGGGACTATGTATCGATACTCGAAACCACGATCAGCAATGCAGCGATTGGCTGGCGGCAAGACAGCAACGTAATGACATCATATAATTAAAAAAGACACCTGACGAAAAACTTGACAAATTTCTGGAATTTTAATCCAAGCGAACAAAACTACATAAATGTTATAATAGATAAATGAAATGTGTTTTCATTTAATTTAAATTTTTTACGTGATTCCCAATTATTTATATTCACGATTTCTAATTTTTGTACAGGCTTTACATTTTTATTTCAATGTAGCAATTAGCAATTCATTTAATTTGATATTTGAACAGATTTGTTACGTGACATCATTATTTAAAGTTTCTTAAGAGTCAAGATCATGTTATCTGCATCTCTGAGTTAGCAACGTACGAAGAACGGGCCCCAGACATCTTTTGTGCGGGTTGAAGATAGAGCAACATTGACATGACTGTATTAAGACCGTCCTGAATTTTTGGATGATATCTGAAGTGTGTCATCAGATGGATCCACTCAAAAGACCCTGAACACAAAAGAGCCTGGCTCGAGTGACCCAGCCCTACGGACCATTTGATTATAAACTCTTCACACAAACACACATTTCATATGGGCTCTGCCCTCTGGCGCAGGACACAACTTTGAGCAAATAAAACCAAACATTGTATTTCCCTAGCATAGATTCCTGCATATTTAAAAATCTGTTTTTCACTGATAGCATTGACATCACTCCAGATGGCATGAAGGCCATTGTGACCCTTTCAACAGGAGACATGAGGCGATCATTAAACATTTTACAGTTGTGTATCATATGAAAAAGTGATGTTTTGTGGTTTGCTTACTGCACTGCTGCTGGCATGAAAAATATTTAGAAAAATCTGTATCGTGTGTTTTTTTTATGTACAGAGTACACATATGGCCTATGGGAAGGTGACAGAGGAGACAGTGTACACATGTACTGGACATCCTCTCAGATCAGACATCGCTAACATACTGGACTGGGCCCTCAATAAAGACTTCACCACTGCATATAACCGTATCCTTTCTACTGTAGAGGTTGGTTAGTTAGTTCTCCAAGCTTTACAGTAATGCATAACCTTTCTTTTTTTGAAATGTGTAATCTTTTTGATAGTATTTTTTTTGTTTTTGTTCTTAAGATTGCTGTGAGGGGATAAGAAATCGCTTTGGAAGGCAGCATCTACAAAAAGTCTAAATAAAATTAAAATAAACATGAATTAAATTTTATAAATTGATCATTACAAAATAGAATTATTATTGGTAGTAGTAGTATTATTGTTGTTGTTGTTGTTGTTGTTAATAATAATAATGTAGAATGTTTATTAATCAATAATAATTTTTTATTAGTTTAATAACTCAGATTTCTTTTTTTTATATATTTTCCAAAGCATTAACAAAAAGCTCAATACAATTTTGAAATTTCTATTTTCTCCCACATTAACTCTTTCTGCCAAAATTAAAACATTGATAGAATGTATTAATAATAATAACAGTCAATAAATTAATAAATTGGTAAAATTTCACATAAATATATATATTTACAAACATTATATGCATATCAGGAAAATGACATCAAACATAGACTATGCTCAATGTATTACATTTGTGCTATATACATGTAATATTTTGAATGTACAATCAAACATCAAATTTCTTTTATTATTATTACTATAGAAAAGGGAATAAAAAAAATTATTGAAATATTTATATATTTTAATTATGTATGCTATTATAATTATATATTCTTTTATTTTAAAAAAATAAATCTTAATATTGATATTTATCATTTAATAAACTGTTATTTTATTAATGACATTAAGTGTTTATACAGGAATTGTGGAATTGTAAGTTGCTGATATTACCGTGTTGGCCCGAATATAAGACGACCCCGATTATAAGACGACCCCCCTTTTTCCAGATGTACCTTTTGGAAAAAGGCTTTTTAAAAAACAAATCTTGTTTTTTCTCAGTAAAACACATTTTGTCTTCAATTATTTTCATATTGCATATTTTTCCTATTTTAATTTTTGTTTTGAAAGTATGGTAAAAACTGGTAAAATGTACCAACAATCACATTTAAAAAAAATACCCTTTTTGATATACCATTAAAAAAAAAAAAAACAGATTTGGCGCCACCTAGTGTTGTGGGTGTATTATTGACATGTCAAAGTCGAGACCCTGAATATAAGACGACCGCGTTTTTTCAGATGTATTTCCAAGAAAAAAAATATCGTCTTATATTCGGGACAATACGGTAGTTTATGACGTTTCCAAAGTCCTTATCTGGATCCAACAGAAATTCTGCAGCTCAAAACTCTAAAAGGTCTGGCACTTCATGACATTTTAACAGAAGTCCATCGTCTCATTCACTGTGGTAAGACTACACTTTTAATTCAGCCATGCATGGCTCTATAACTGATTCCTGTTCAAAATAACTAAAGCAGTCCAGAACGCCACACACAACCCATCACAACTTTGATGTAGTGATGATGAGCTACATGTTTTCCCTGCCCTTGTTACCATGGAGATCCTTTTGTGGTCGTCATGGAAACCGGTTCTTGTTTTAAAGGATGCCTGTTAGAAGTAGCAGAGTGTAGCGTGCTTCACACACACTAATGCACTAAATATTACACTATTTTCAGAATCCAGACTGCAATAATGAGTATATAATTTTTTTGCATGCCAAAATATGTTTATCACACAGCATGTCATGTTTTCTGTAGGGTTTTTTTTTTTTTTTTTGGAATGTTTTAAAATGACAAAAGATATTTAGATTTGATTATTTTAAATCTGATTTATTGGTCACACAATCAAAGTGTTGTTTGAGCACAGTTAGGTGGGTTAATTTTGCTCTAATGTTTTTGTGTTTCTATTTCAGTGGACTTCCCACCCTCCATCCGCATGGGCTTGCTTATAAAACTTGCCGATATTGAGTAAGTACATTTATTATGTCAAGTTATTTAGTAAATCAGTAGAGAAGTGTGCACACTGTTCTATTTAGGACTGGTTTGATTAAAGGGGTCATATGATGCTGCTAAAAAGAACATAATTTTGTGTATTTGGTGTAATGAAATGTGTCGAATGAAGCAAACAGCACCACTCCCATATGACTCATGGATACTTTATCTACATGAGTTAAACAGATTCACCTGATTAATGTAAATATGTGACCCTGGACCACAAAACCAGTCATAAGGGTCAATTTTTTGAAATTGAGATTTATACATCATCTGAAAGCTGCCATTGATGTATGGTTTGTTATGATAGGACAATATTTGGCCGAGATACAACTATTTGAAAATCTGGAATCTGACGGTGCAAAAAAATCTAAATATTGAGAAAATCATCTTTAAAGTTGTCCAAATGAAGTTCTTAGCAATGCAGAAATTGAGATTTATGCATCATCTGAAAGCTGAATAAATAATCTTTCCATTGATGTATGGTTTGTTAGGACAATATTTGACCGAGATACAGCTAGTTGAAAAGCTGGAATCTGAGGGTGCAAAAAAAACATTTATTGAGAAAATCGCCTTTAAAGTTCTTAGCAATGCATATTACTAATCAAAAATTAAGTTTTGATATATTTACGGTAAGAAATTTACAAAATATCTTCATGTAACATGATCTTTACTAAATATCCTAATGATTTTTGGCATGAAACAAAAATCAATCATTTTGACCCATACAATGTTTTTTGGCTATTGCTACAAATATACCCCAGCGACTTAAGACTGGTTTTGTGATCCAGGGTCACATATGCATTGGTCATTTGAAAATAATTATGAATATTGTATAACATATACAATCAAATTAATACTTTAATTCAGCAAGGATGCATTAAATTGGTCAAATGTGACAGCAAAGACATTTATAATGTTGCTAAATATTTCTATTCCAAATAAATGCTGTTCTTTTGAACTTCTTCTTTCTTTTGAAGTTTGCTCAAAAATATTAAGCAGCACAACTGTTTTTATCATTGGTAGTAATCGTAAATGTTTCTTGAGCAGCAAATCAGCATATTAGAATGATTTCTGAAGGATCATGTGACACTGAAGACTGGAGTAATGATGCTGAAAATTCAGCTTTGCATCACAATAAATTACATTTTAAAATGTATTCAAATAGAAAAGAGTTCTTTTAAATTGTGTATTTCACAAAATTGTTGTTTTTACTGTATTTCTTATCAAATGATTGCAGCCTTGGTGAGACTAAGACACTTTTAAAAAACTGAAAAATCGTACCAACCCTAAACTTTTGAACAGTAGATGAAGTTTATGTACGTACTCGAGTGAGCTTCAACTTCTGTTCATTCCTTTTTAACCATAAGGTATCGTCTGGCCTCTGGAACCAATGAGAAGATCCAGCTGAGCTCAATGGTTGCAGCTTTCCAGGCTGTTAGAGACACAGTAGTCAGCGATGGATAGACCATTGGTTCACACTTTTAAAAGGGTTATGTAACATAGACCCGTGATGTCATGAGAGGAAGTTGTTTACTTCTTCATATTGTTCTGACAAAAAAAAAAAAAAACTGCGCAGAACCCTGTAATATTTTTGAAATGTTTATATTTTTAAGCTTAAAATAACGCTCGTCTCAGTACTTTGTAAAACAAATGCTACATTTTCAAAGTAGTTATGTAAAAAATAAAGTCTTTAAATAATTATTTCAAGTATGGTGTCAAGTTTGACCCACAAACATTACTGTTTCCAGTCATCTGCAGTGTTCTTTACAACATACAATCTTTCGCTTTGGAATGTCCCTGTAAGTAAGGTATTCCAGGATTTTTTTTGGCAAGGGAAGAGCCTGCACTTGATAGGTTGAAATGGAGAATCTCAGGGCAATCCGGCACAGATGCTTAAGGCTCGGAACGAGACGAGGAACTCGCCAGAATTTTACATGTCCATCTCTGCACCTACAATCAAATATAAAGAACTTCTTCATATTTTTTCCAGCATACAAGCAGAAGAAAATTCTAGAGTTAAACACTGTCAGCTGAAACTGAATATCAATGATGTTCCAACTCCATGATGTGACTTGCAATACCCTGTAGCGATGACGCCCCCGTGTGGATGGAAAGCACAGCACACGCCACCGGCTCGGTTGTGATCAGTGTCTGTGACTAGTTTATCTCGTTCCACATCCCAGATCCGTAACGCCCTGCAACACAGTACAGTGTCATTAGTAACAATAGAGAAAGGTGTCAGGTCACAAGGGTGATGTCTGGTCATGTAGTTCTGAAGATCTCAGATCTCAAATGGATGGTTCACTGCTCACCTATAGTCTTTAAATGTCAGAAGCAGACCAACCGGAGAGAAGCTAAGAGATGTCAGTAGATTGTCACTTCTGTAAGCACACACCTTACAGTCTCTGGAAAGAGAAGAAAATATTTTTTCCAACATGCAGTATATTGCAACATAGTTCACCTGGAAATTTTAATTGGCTGGATATGTACTCACCCTCAGGCCTGTCAAGATGTAGAGGAGTTTGTTTTTTCATTAGAACGGATTTGGAGAAATTTAGCATTACATGACTTGCTCACCAATGGATCCTCTGCAGTGAATGGGTGCCGTCAAAATGAGTGTCCAAACGGCTGAGAAAAATATCACAAGTAATCCACACCACTCCAGTCCATCAAATAATGTCTTGTGAAGTGAAAAGCTGGGCGTTTGTAAGAAACAAATTCATCATTGATAAGTTTTTAACATTAAAAGGTTTCTTCTGGCCAAAATATGAGTCCTCTATACAGAAAATTGCTTCTTCCAGTAAAAAAAAAAAAAGCCATCTCATCTGAATCAGGAATGAAATATGCACAGATCAAGCATTGTTCACAGGCAAAAACAGTCCAAAACACTTCCAAACAAATAAATCAGTGGATTTTGATGTGCAAGGATAGTGGATGGAAGAAATGTTGTCTCGTATTTTGACCAGAAGAGATAACTTAAATTTAAAACGCCTTGATGATGAATTTTTTTTCGTACAAACAAGAAGCTTTCAACTTCACAAGATGTTAATTGATGGACTGGAGTGTTGTGGATTATTGTGATGTTTTAATCAGCTGTTTGGACTCTCATTCTGACGGCACCCATTCACTGCAGATGATCCATTTGTGAGCGAGTGATGTAATGCTACATTTCTCCAAATCTGTTCTGATGAAGAAACAAACTCAACTATATCTTGAATGGCCTGAAGGTGAGTACATTTTCAGCATATGTTCATTTTTGGGTAAACTATTTATTTTTACCATATCAGTTAGTAAATTAGACGATTTATGTCTACATTTATAAAAACATCAAATCATTCAGCATTGAATGTAATTTTCAAAATAATAAAATTCTGTCATCAAAAAAGATTCTCTTTTTTCTGTGAAGCATGAAAGATGACGTTTAGCAGAACATTCCCACTGTTCCGAACTTTTTGTCCCAAAAATAAGTAAAACGGCTTTATCTCAAATTTTCTTTATTTAAAAAAAAAATCATAGTTATTGTAAAAAATTAATAAAAATATGATATGAGAAAATAACATCTTGGTTGGCCAACATACTCTACTCTAGTCATGAGATCAGCTGTATAGGGGTCCCACAGGTCCAGCCACCAGCCTGTGGTCGAATGATACGAAGCGATCGCGAGCAGCGCTCCATCCTGGGAAAAGTCACATGATGCCATGGTGCGCTCATGGTCATATGTAAGGTGTCTCATGAAGGTGTAGGACCGCAAGCTCCACAAATACACCTTCTGTTGGGAAAACAACATTCAGACGATGTAACAGTTCAGTAATCACAATCACAACAATAAAAAGAACTGTTATTATTTTATCTGCATGGCTCTACAGGATATCCTGTTGCAGAGACTAAAAGTCTCCCTGATTATATAACTAAACCCTTTATATAACTACAAGAAGACATCTTAGCAGAGTAACCACAGCTTCAGTGCAGTAACTACTGTACAAAAGTGTTCAAATACTTTTTGTTTTCATTTTGAACAGTTTAGCTATTACTATTATTTATTATACAAAATCTAACAAACTTCTGTTTGTGAAATGTTTTACTTTGGAAAATGTGCATGTGCTGTGTGTTTAAAAAACACTTACTTGCTACTTAATAAACAAGAAAAATGTTCTTTGTTGACATTTTTAATGCAAGCATACAGCTTTTGAGGCCACTGCAGCATTGTTGTTAATTGAAATAAAATGTAAAAAAGTAGATAAAAAATAAAGCTACATGGAAATATTACTTGTATAACTAATAAAACTGACAAAAGCACAGCAAAATCAATAAAATAAATTAAAATGAAAACAAAATATAAAATAAAAGCTAATTCAAAACATTAATAACGTATCAGTATATAAATAATACTTAAAAAAAAGAAACTCACAGAGTCGAGGTTGCAAACGGAGGCGATCACACTGCTGTCAGGTGATATGGAACATCTGAAGACCCAGTAGTCTGGACCCCGCAGCACATGGGGACTGGCGCCTGCAAATATCAGCATTACAATCTTCATAAGTACAAAATTAAAGGTCATGAAAACTTATTTTCATCCCATTGCAAAGATAGGTTGCTTCCACATCAGATGCTTTGACCTTTCTTTGCCAAGTCCCATATCCTTAAAGTTTTGTCTCGGGAGGCTGATACAAGCGTGAGACTTCCATTTGGAGTGAAGACTAAATCCCTGACAGGAGCCTGATGTCCGGTTAGAGTAACCCGCAGATTTCCTGAAGACAGAACAGGGATTTACTAGCATATTAAACCTTCTACTACATGTGTATAACACCATGCTGTTAATGTTTAGACCGATCTAAGTTCTTGATGGTGAAAACGAGTCTAGAGTTCAGTCTTACCAGTTGAGACGACCCACACTTGGATCACGCCGTTGTTCAGACCAATGGCCAGCAGTAGCTCATGATCACGTCCGTTCTGATGTAAAGCATCCACTCGGGTAGACATGCATGGTCCAAACGCCAGTGCCCACACCGTTTGCCTGCAGTTAAGCGTCTTCTCTTCACTGCATCCAGCTTCGGCGCTACTGTTAATACAAAGAGGAATGTAGAAGGTTCAGTTGTGCTCCAGCTTCCTCCATTGCTCCTTTATTGTTCCACATTACCCTGTGACTTTGTTCAAACAAGTACCGTACCACGGTACTGTGATAAATCCCATATACCATACATAAAACTATTTTTGGTAACACTTTATTTTAAGGTGTCCTTGTTACATGTTACATATAATTACTATAGTATTAGCACAAAATTATGCATAATTACATGCAATAGGCTAACCCTAAACCAACCCCTAATCCTAAACCTAGTTACTACATGTTGTTAATTAATATTACTCAGTACTTAAATGTATAATTACACTGTAACAAATACACCTTAAAATAAAGTGTAACCCAATTTTTTAATGGTAAACCAGCTATGACCATACTTGAAGACCAGCTAAAACCAGCCAACAAGGACCGGTTTCAGCTGTTTTTTCAGATGTGATATTACTTTTTTGTTAGTGACAGGTTCTCCCATAATATTAATTTATTGTGGTGTTACATATAAGCCTATATATTAATTAACCCATTGTGTTATGAACACAGACGCACTCGTTGGATGTCAGCGGCCAGGAGAGGAGTTTGACGATGCCGTATCCCATCGACCAGGCAAAATAAGATCCGTCCGGGGAGAAGCGGACGCTCCATGTCTCACAGCCGGCAGACCCGTACAGACGCGGGGGATGAGCGGGTTTCAGCTCCGCGATCAGATCATGCGGTTCTGTCACAATTAAAGAGACCGGTCATGTACAAAAACAAATGCGCATATCCGGAACTACTCATTTTCTACTAATATGAAAACGTATTTTCATCTTTTATCAAATGCATATGCTTATATATCATCTATATTATCTGAATTGCCTTACCTTTGACAGTACAACCTCGAAGCGAAGTGCACATCTTACCACTGTAATCATGAATGATTCATTTCACCTCTCCTCTACATAGAGATTCATTCACTAGGGGGCGTGGCCAGATGGGCAAACCACGTGACCCCGTCGTCACGCGTGTATCATTCTGAGTACAGTACATACTTGGGTGTGGATTGTCCTCACACACAGCTATTTTGGATTGAATTTTCTAATGTTATCAATCGCAGTGTACTCCAGGGTTTCTCTCTGCTTTTTAAGGATGTACTGTTTGGCTTCTTTAATATACAAAAAGATAAAATTAATGAATATTTTATTATTAACCTATTATTACTTCTTGCAAAATTTCATATTCACCACAGTAAATTCACTAATCAAAATCCTTTATATATTGTTTATTAAAAAGAGGTTCAACAGTATACCCAAACTATTTCATCTTCCAAGAATCTCAAGGCTTTTAAAACGGTTAATTTATTTAATCTTTTTAATTTATTTTGTTAAATCTTTCGTTTTGTATTATTTATTTATTGTTACATACATCTATAAATGGTGCTTTGCATGTAATGTCACCTCTTTGTATGTATTGTTGATATTCTCTGTATTTTTACATTTGGTACCTTGGCATTAATAAAAAAAAATTTTTTTTAAAGTACATACTTGGGTGTGTCTACTGTATATTTACAGTGTTAAGGTGTGTTTTATACTTGTCATTTACATCTCGGGTATCGTAATTTTACAGCTTTGAATAAATTTTATTTTATAGTGCCATTTAAAGCTAGTTTAAGTATTGTTTTATACATTACTGAAATTGTAGGCCTACAGTAGACAATTTAAGCACACCCCCAATTCTCATTATTAAAGAGATCTCATTTTTAATTATGTAATGCCAAAAAATATTATTAAAACTGCATTTATACACAATGTTAGCTAGGGTGACCATATTTTAGTTTTCCAAAAAGAGGACAGTGCGGGCGGGCCGGGCGGGGGACTGGGGTGTGGTTGGTTGGTGGTTAAAGTAATGCCGAAAGCGCCCAAAGTAGCGCAATCTCAAATATCAAAACTCAAAATATGTCATTTCCATACCTAATATACATATTTTACAGTCACTGTCATGCATATTGATCATAAACACAGCTAAAAAGCTTCCTAGTGCCCCTTCTTCACAAAACTTGACATCTAGCACAGTTTTATCATAGGTAGAATGCAAAATGTTTCAGTACAAGCATTTCAGTCAAATGTAATTTATGCAATATTTCAAACCTTTAACCCAC